GTGGGGGTTTTATATGTGATCTTTTCTATGTATGGGCTTAACCCAAAATACCTAAATATTTCACTTCACTGACTTAAAATAGTATCAACCCAAACAAGTCCATTACACACGAGTATCTGAGCAACTTAATTCCTGTTTCCTCCATAATTCTAAATAATGCTGTGCCCGTTTATGTTTCTGTGTTCCTCAAATAAACTGCAGGTCTGGGCAGGGTGCTGATGCCAAGATAACAGGGGCACCGGCGATAACGAGAGTAACATGAGTGTGGAGTGAGTGGATTTGCTCTTTTGGGACGTACTAAAAAGAGAATGTGGAGAATTCCTCAAAAAATAAGAAGTAAAAATGTCAGAGCAGGACAGATTGGTTAGGCATCTGATAAGCAGCTCAGCCAACAGTTGGACTCACCTGCCAAAACAATGTGTACAAGAATTTCACCCGGCAACAACACATGTGAGGCACATGTGAAAATCACAGGTTAACTAAAGGTCAGAAGGCTTTTCCCCCCCCTTCAATGATACACAAGTAGTTCCACAGATCAGATGTAAAAACCTGATGAAGAAAGCACAGGCACGGTCCATCCACTCATTTTTCTACAGAGATACACTACTGTTCAAAAGTTTGTGGTAGGATAAAAATAAACACTTTTATTCAGCAAGGATCAAATAAATTGATATCTATTTATTTAACAGTATTATCTTTGTAACAGTATTTTTTGTCGTTTAATTGTGTTCGCTTCTGGACGTGCCATATTTTTATATAGGTATGTTTGGATTAATGATGAACTCATGGTTTGTTAATGCATTATTTTTCCATGACTTTACTTGAGGGGGCCCGACCATAATTAATTCACTGTTAACTACTTACTAAACTCAGATCATGGTTAAATTTATACTTAATATCAAACACACATGTACTAACCAAAACGAGTTTTGAGCCCAATTAAGGAATGCTGTGTGGCTTTTCAAGAAGACAGAGGGTGGAGGTACAGGATCATCATGGCCTGCATCTGGATGGAGAGTGAACTGTACTGATACCCTGCAAACGCTCTTTTTTTTATTTAGCTGCGTATAAGTCGCAGTAGTGTGAGTTTAAAGGGAAAGAGAACAACACAAAACAGACAAGATCAGTTATCAAATAAATGCAGCCTTGGTGAGCATAAGAAACCTATTTCAAAAACATAAAAAAATCTTACCGGCACCAAACTTCTGAATGCATGGTAGTGTAAATGCAGCCATAGTTAAACCATGTACAGATAAACACATCAATCGTTGATGATTTGCCATCATTTGATTAAAGAAAAACAGAAGCTACAAGTACACAGAGAGACAGAAACATTTGTAGTGCAAGGGAGAGTTAAATATGAGCTAAAGCAAAGTGGGGGGAAAAGTAAGTGAATGTAAAATACTTTGATTAGAAAACAAAACGGGGTTCCGGTGTGAATCACAGGGAACTTCTATGTTCAGGGAAAACGGTGGGTACTCAAGAATATGACACAGGAACTTAATGACTTCGATATCTATACATGTAACGTTACCAGATACTACACACAAAATATAGTAGAGTTCAGATTCATAGTCTACAAAAAGGAACAGAAAGATAAAAGAACAACTTGGCCACTCAGCCAATCAAAAGCGAGGAGCAAATATAATGTACTCTAATGTAACATAACATTATACAATATAATAAATATGCAATTATTATATTGCCAATTACTCTATTTTATCCAATCAATAAGCATAGGATTATATTTTAATTAAAGAGAAAAGAGTTTACAAAACACTGCACTGCCACAGTGAGCCAGTCTGTAAAAGTCAAGATAACAAGAAGCATGTGCATGCTTTAGACAGAAAGATAACAAATTAATAAAAACTGTTGTTCAATCAGTGCTTGACATGTGAATCAGAAGTCAGTAGTTTCTTTTTGAAACACAAGTTGGTCATTTTTAGAGTTATAATAATCGCACATCGTGAATCACACCCTTTGACCCATAGATCGATACATATTTAAAAGACGGCTGTGATCTGAAAGATTATGATTTAAAGATACTGAAGTCAAAACCATACAGAGAGAGAGAGAGAGAGAGAGAGAGAGAGAGACTTTTGACTTTTAACACACTTTATTAAAACATCTAAAAACAAAAAAACAAATATACCCCACACATATCACATTGCAATGTGTTCAGGAGACATGTATATACAGTATACATATATATACACATACATAAAAAAAAATAATTAAAAAAAATAATAAAAAAAACATCCTAATCAAAAAGACAACCATATATCACCAATTAAACATTATTTCGCCATCCTCACAAAGTGTCAGTAAAGCTCCGTTTGCACACCATTTGAACTCAAACTCAAGCAAGTTATTTGTCAATTGAAAGAATCTATGTTCTACTCTTATTCTGGATTCCACCAAAGCAGTAAAAAGCGGAAGAATATTTATATTTCGTCCTTCAGCAGCCAGTCTACATGACTTCCAAATATTCGACCAAAAGGGTGCTTCTACTAAATACTGAGCAAAGGGTCTGAATACTTAGGACCATGTGATATTTCAGTTTTTCTTTTTTAATAAATCTGCAAAAATGTCAACAATTCTGTGTTTTTCTGTCAATATGGGGTGCTGTGTGTAAATTAATGCTTAAAAAAATTAACTTAAATTATTTTAGCAAATGGCTGCAATATAACAGAGTGAAAAATTTAAGGGGGTCTGAATACTTTCTGTACCCACTGTATATATAAATTTATAAAAATATATTAAAAAGAGCGAGATTACTACGAAAAACGGATTACTCAAATGTAATTAGCTGTTATAATTTGCATGCTTTTTTATATGCTTATACTTGATTAAAACTGACAAAAAATGTTAAAGCTTTAAACTAACCATTTTCTCAAATGAGTGCATAAGCGTTACATTTAATACATAAATAAAAATATAACGCTAATAACAAAGAAGTAAAAATGAACGCAAACTAAGTTAATAAAGTAGCCTGTTTCAAAAATCAGCTGTCCTCGGGCAGCAAACTTGACCAGCAGTGCTCTTGCGCCCTCTAGTGTCTGGTGAAGCGCGTCACACGCTCAGCCAAAAACACCTGCTCTTCATCAATTTACCTGATCCGCGTGCAGTGTTTTCCTCGCCGCTTACAGGTGTGCGTCGATGTGAGCAGCGCTTTTTATAGTAAATCATTGTAGCTGTTCAGTCCTCGCTGCAGGTACTGATCTTGACTGTCCCTTGATTATTTTACCAGGAATATTAAACGTCCCTTAGTTAACAAGCATTTACGATTGAGGCCGAGCTGACTCGTTTAGGCGGAGAACAGGTGCAGAAAGATTCCCAGATTCTCTTCTCAAGCCGTTTGAGCTGAACAGCGTTTGTGCTGGCTGAAATGACAAGCTGCTTGATTGAAAATGACTCTGTAGCTTCAATCAGTCTGTCTGAATTATCCAGCTCATCATCTGTGTCTGACAGAGCAAGTGTTCACTGGGGTAAGAGCACTTCTGTCCTGTACAACGAGCCTTTTCAGTTGCCTAAATGGTTTTGCCTGCTTTTACTTGCTCTTTCTTTCCTGAAAGGTTGTGTACTCAGTGGTTCTGAGACCACGGCTGTCTTTAAAGCTGAAAATGACCTTCTGGAGAACCAGTTTTTCATCAAAACGGTAACCTAGGTTTGAGCCTCAACCCACCCCAGCCTGGAAACTCCCAACATTTACTCACCTTCATGTCGTTACAAACACTTGTGACTTTTTTTTCTTTTTCTTTCGTGGCGTTTGTTGTTCAGTTTTTCCTCCAGTGCGCTGTTAATCGTTGTGACCGGATCGGTGATTTAATGGTTTGATCTCGAGTACCGTGAACGACTCGAGTTTAGTGAACGAAGCATCGCATCATTCGATTCATCATTCCGATTCAATTGACTCATTCATTGAGTCGATTCTTTTCATTCATGAATCGAATGTAGCTCATCAGCATGCAAAGGCAGCCGTTTTTGTCGTATTTATTAGCCTCAAACCCACCCCAGCATGGAAACTCCCAACATTTACTCACCTTCATGTCGTTACAAACACTTGTGACTTTTTTTCTTTTTCTTTCGTGGCGTTTGTTGTTCAGTTTTTCCTCCAGTGCGCTGTTAATCGTTGTGACCGGATCGGTGATTTAATGGTTTGATCTCGAGTACCGTGAACGACTCGAGTTTAGTGAACGAAGCATCGCATCATTCGATTCATCATTCCGATTCAATTGACTCATTCATTGAGTCGATTCTTTTCATTCATGAATCGAATGTAGCTCATCAGCATGCAAAGGCAGCCGTTTTTGTCGTATTTATTTAATTGGATTTTATTTTTGTTTATAATTAATCTTTCATCGACGGGCAAAACTCTTGAAATAATTTGCCAAAGCAGGTTAAAAAAAAAAAAAGTGTCAGGGCCTGGAGCTACTTCATAAGCATTTATGAAACTTGTATGATGATGTGTGATATTCAGCTGTCTTTCCAGTTAGCTCTTAATAGTTGTGACTGGATCGTTGATTTAATGATTAGAACTCGAGTACTGGATTTGTGAACAAGCATCGCATCATTCGATTCATTGAATCAATCTTCTCAGTCAATTCTTTTCATTCAGGATTCGAACATTGCTCATCAACATGCGAAGGCAGCCATGTTTGTCACTGATTTGCTGGGATTTGTTTCTTCATGCATACATTAATTCATTTAGCCTATTTATTCATGACTTGATTTGCAGAAGTTATTAAAAACCGTAATGCATCAGAGTCTGAAGTTCTTTATAGCAGTTTATGAAGCTTAATATATATATAATTTTGTAGTCCACATTCACTTTCATTATAAAAGACTGTCCCGGATATTTGTGAAGTTCACCATTTGTGTTTATGGGTCATTTACATTTCGGTACATGTGAGTAAATTACTTTAATGTTTACATTTTATCTATTAAAAAGTGTATGAGGGAGCCTGATAACCTACACTCACGTCCATAGTCTTCAACAGTTGCATCATCACACTGAAATGACTACATTTCTATTGTCATAGATATGTCTTAGTGAGGAGGCAGGAGACGAGATGCATATCGTGGCTGTCTGTGACGGTGTCGGAGCTTCCAAACCATTGCCCGTTGCCACCCTCCGCCACTGTATGCCAATGGTGAATTATTATTATTGTGACTGATAGTTTGATTGATTGAAAGACTCCAGAAACTGTTAACTCTCTCTCTCTTTATATATGTATGCGTGTATATATGTGTGTGTGTGTATATATATATATACACACACACACACACACTGAATGAGTGGATATTTATGTTGTTGCAGATCAGTTTTCCTGGTTTGGAGCTAATTCCCCCTGTCACCTTTAAACTGTGCTCGGGTAAAGGACCTGTGTTCATCTCTGCTCAGCATATAACATGTAAGAGCTTGCATTGGAATACTTGTATTCTGTTTTATGCTTTTCAGGGTTGGGCAAACCCCAGCTCCTTGTTAATTCACAAGTGCTGACTGGACATTTGAATTGCAGTGACAGGAAGATTTTAGCGAACTGCAGTTCAAAAGTTTCAACATGGTTACACAGCCAAGCAGTAGTTTCCCGATTGATTGCATACATTAATACTGTGAAAACAAACAAAGTTTTAATTCTAAATGGTGCTCAACCATGCCATTTCTAAAAATTCATTTTTTGTGTGTGTGCAGTGAATCCCATTGAAATGACAGAGGGGGAGGAGGAGGAGGATGAGGATGAGGATGATTAAATGCCAGCAATGAGCTTATTTTGACCATCTGAACCATAATGGGTCCTGTGGGACAATGATTGTGCACCCTGTCAGTATTTGATGCTAAAACATCACCGTGTCAACGTTGAAGAACTGTATTAACTGCAAGTGTTTTAATGCTAATAATAAAATGACTAATAAAATATCACTCTCACAGTGTAAATAATGGCACAATTTTATCTTACGTACTTTTCCTTATCTGCAGAATGAGATGCATACCTAATTGTACACAATGTAAACAAGAAATAAAGTATATTCTATTGGTAAAATATTTGTGAATCCCACTTTTGGCATAATGTTAATTATAAAATGTATTTTAATTTCTAAGTTTGATTTCTAGCATGGAGAGGGTATGGCAGAGTTGATGTGAGCCGTTGCTAGGAAACAGTCACGCATCTAAGCAACAGACAGTAAGTAAACAAACCCTTGCAGTTGTCATTGTGCTAGAGCTGCTGAACGAGTCGTGTTTACGGCGAGGAAAGAAGATGTCTGCTCGCTCGGCGTTTGATGGCGCCGTGTTCATGGCGTCCCAGATGAAGCTTCTGGAAGATTTCAAGCGAGACGCGCACCCTGATAAAGTGAATCTCGCAGGGAGGGGTGAGTGGTGTACTGCCTCTGGCCCACACTGGACACAGAATACCCACTGCCTCTAATAATGATCTTCACATACAAGAAACTTATGAAATCAAAATGTAATTTTAGCTCGTGCTAGACTCTTAAGGCCGTTTACATGCTAAATGTAAATAAAAATGTCAGAAATACAGGAAAATGGACCAAACTAATTGATGACGCACTCTGCACGAGTTGCTAGTTTTGTGCTTTTTTTCTTGCAAAAAATGGTCTATTCTCAAGGAATACTTCACCCTAAACAAGTCATTTACACTACAGGTTAAAAGTCTGGAATTTATAAGTTTTTTTTTTTTTTTTTATCAAAAAGTTTAAGTAGTTATGCTCACGAAGTCTGAATTTGTAAAATATTATTATAATTTAAAATAACTCTTTATTTTATTATATTTTTGTGATGTCAAAGCTGAATTTTCAGCATAATTACGCCAGTCTTTAGTATTACATGATCATTCAGAAATCATTTTAATGTGGTAATTTGGTATTTTAAATTTTTATATATATCAATGCTGAAAAATTTGTGTAAACAGTCATACTTTTTTGTCAGGATTATTGAGGAACAAAGTTCACAGCATTTAACTGAAATTGGAATCTTTTGTAACATTATAAGTGTCTTTACTGTCACTTTTCATTAACGTGTCCTTTAATGTGTTTTTTAAATGTTAATTTCTTTAATAATAATAATAAATCGTACCCCAAACTTACCTCAAAATATTAAGCAGTACAACAGTTTTCAACATTGATAATAAGAAATGTTTCTTGAGCATCAAATCCGCATATTAGAATGATTTCTGAAGGATCAAAATAAGGCACAATCTACTATGTTAATATGAAAGAATTTTGTTTTTTTTTTACGTGCATTTTAAATTACGCATTGTGTTTTCGGGTTACAGGGTTACAATGGATGATGGATGATGTCCTGAAAGATTTTCCATTTTTCTTACAGTATACTAACTGATCAACAATCGCAGGTACAAGCTACTAACAAAGTGTATCATAAATAAACAATTATTCAATTATCAAATTATTCAATTATATTAAATTGAACAATTGCAAATAGCAGCTAACTCAATTCTCGTGATGTGTGTACTGCTAGGCATCAGTGGTTTCCTCTTTTTGCGTAATTTGGATGGAAAATGTGTGCCTTTTTATTGTCTGAGTCACTTATCAAAAGTTGCTAAAGGTTGCCAAATCAATTTTTAAAATTACTAAATTTGTTGCTAGGTGCTTTTGGAAGGAAAAAGTTGCTAGGGTAGTCTGAAAAGTTGCTAAATTTAGCAACAAAATTGCAAAATTGGCAACACTGACGACAGTGACCGTTGGCGAGTATGTGGGCGTGTCAAGCGATGCGAGTCAAGCGACAAAAGTTAAGAATTGTTTAACTTTGAAATGAACAGCGAATTTCGCGAGCGACAACCAATAGGAGTGAAGAATCTGTCGAGTTCAGGGAAAACAGGACAGATTTCCTGAGCGATTTCACTGTTTTTTATGATTTTACTGTAACCACATACATGGATATAAAAAAACATGATGCATAGAAAAGAAACTGTTGGCTGTTGAAGAGAGTTTGATTCATACATTGATGGTTAGTTGTTATTTATATGATGCAGTGAGCAGTTTAGCTCCGGTTAATGATTTAATGCACGGGCACTGCTGTAGTTTATATAACAACATTCTCCAACAGCAGAATGGTACTTTTATTTCGTTTAAGTCTAATTCCTAGTCATATTAGAATGATATCTTCATTTTAAAGGCAATATATATAGTTTGTGATTGCATTTTATATGTCCAGACTTGCAGTCTACCAATAACATTACAGCGACAGCAGTAGGAACGCCCACAAGCGTCTTCACAGCACAGAGTCTAGCGATATACAGCGGAAAAAGTCGCTGGCAGTGTGAACGGGGCTTAATGCACACACAACTCTGCCCGTTTACAATCAAATGTACGTTTCTATCTTTCTATAGAGTATGTTGGAGAGCATGGGCACACCACATGGCTTCCTCCTGTACGAAAAATCAAGCAGCAAATTTCCACAGACCCGACTCTAACCCCAGAGTACACACACATCCTTGGGATCCCAGAATTCACCAGAAGGGCAACTCAACTTGCATTGGGCAAAGATAGCCCTGCCATTGTGGAAAGCAGGGTAACATCTTTTTAATTATTTATCTTTCTATAAAATATATTCCCACAATTGTTGAAAGCTCACGTTAATCCCCAGTCTCGACTGTGATCAACAGTGACTCGCAAGCTGAATACACTGATAGCGTGCAGGAGGCTTGGTACATACCCACTGTGTAGTTTGTTTGTAGATGGTGTAAAGCCGGTTGCCTTTACCGCTATCTGGAAATGTCAGTGCAAGCTGTAAACCGCATATAGCTTTTGATTATTGAACTACAGAGATGATGTGACGCAAATGGATTAGTCACCCATGTCAAACAATAGAAATATTTGTGCTGAATGGAAACTAACCTCCACTGATCACTTTACTATTAATAGACTGGTTAGTTAATATTCAGGTTAAGACAATTATAGGCCTGACACAATGCCCAGTTTTCAACCTTAAGCAACCTTAACCAATTTCCTTAAACCTTAAAGGGATAGTTCACCCAAAAATGAAAATTTGATGTTTATCTGCTTACCCCCAGGGCATCCAAAATGTAGGTGACTTTGTTTCTTCAGTAGAACACAAATGATGATTTTTAACTCCAGCCGTTGCAGTCTATCAGTCGTATAATGCATGGCAATGATAACAAAATCTATGAGAGTAAAAAAAAAACATGCACAGACAAATCCAAATTAAACCCTGCGGCTCGTGACAACACATTGATGTCCTAAGACACGAAACGATCGGTTTGTGCGAGAAACCGAACAGTATTTATATCATATTTTACCATTTGTGTTCTACTAAAGAAACAAAGTCACCTACATCTTGAATGCCCTGGGGGTAAGCAGATAAACATTACATTTTCATTTTTGGGTGAACTACCCCTTTAAGCTTTTTGACCAGATGGAACAAGCAAATCCACATGATTTAAACGAGGAATGCAGAGCAATGATTTCCTACCAGGGCTCATGCGTACCCCAGGGGGTGCTTAAGGTTGTTAAACCTATAAAACAGAAATTGTGACCTTTGGTTTCTTTTATACATAAATTTGACATTTGGTCTTTCTCAGAAAAAGTTTCTCCAGAAAAAAGTCCCCCAGAACGGTCAAAACTTGTGACAGACAAACAAGCTCAGGTGTCTTATTATGGTGAGCCTGTTTTTCATGCACAGTCAGGATTGGGCATCATGCCCAGTGCAAAGGCAGGGCACATGTGTCCACAAACTTATGTTTGAGTCGACTTAATTTTGAATGCAACTTCCAAAAAATGTTATCTTTGATTATTAAAATGTATAATTTACATGTACGCATTTCACACACAATGTTTTTGTATTTACAGCACTGCTTTTTCCATGTTTTCTATTTTACAATGTTGTTCAGTTGTTTTTCCAACATTTCACAATTGTGCTGTCTCACACGACACGGTTTTCTAAAAAATGCTGCGCTCCAAGTTAAAAGTAGTTCAAGTCATGAAAACTCTCGAATAGTTTTAGCATATTAATTTATATGACTGTTAGTGTATTTACTATTTGCCAATTAGAAGACCAAATACACCAAATGCACGCTGCTGCAGAGCAAATATGGACTTCTTACTGCCAACAGACACCCAGACATATTGCTGTGAGCATAAATTCTGTAGCAGTTCTAGACAGGTGGAGATGGGGGAGGTGGAGGGTTTCAGAGGAACTGCACTGCAGGAACAGCTTACAGCGAACGCTGAACCAGACTAATTAAATACTAAGCAAGCAATCTCATTGGCCGGTCAGCTTGTGCCATGTAGTAAATTATGTAGTTGCTAGCAGATTGCATGTAAAGGACCTGCCATCTAGCATTTTATGACTGAAATAGATATTTCAACTTTTTAAAAATATCTGTAGACCCGCTTTTTTTTTTAAACACAAAAAAAAGTGATCTGCGCAAATGGTCTCTTGCAGTATCTTGCACCAATGGACCAAGAACTCCTAAAATTCTTGACATCCCTGTACACATTATTAATTTGTTTTGGTTGTTTTCATTTAATGTGAATCAGGAATAATAATATTAAAAATGTCCACTTTTGTCAAATCAATGATTTTTGTATTTTTGTATCTTCTATAGTATCAACATACTTCTGGTTTGGCATTAATTAAAGGCTATTTGAGCCTTGCTGAGGGGGCGAATAAGACAAAAAGGAGTTTGGAAGTACTTGTTTTGTGGATTAGATTTAGTTTCCAAATCACCCACTCAGATTAAATTTGTTTGGAAATGTGGTAGGTGTTCGGCATCCAAACAGTTGGATGTACTGGAGCAGTGCGTTTGGGTGCTGAGTTACTGAGATCCTGCTACTGTTCAAGCTCTTCCTGGAGTGGACCCATCTTGCTCTCCTCTCCCTGTGATGGTGGGTACAAAATGTACACATGCAATGCAGAGTTTGTTCTATTATATAGAATGTTCAAGGGTCAGTCGCACTAACTTTGACATAAAGGGGCATTAAGTTACACCTTACTCACTTCTAAATATTTTTGAGTTGCATCTACAAAACTTGACCATTAAAAGATTAAACTTAAATCTACATATAAACTAAATACCAGGAGTAATGTCTGCAATAAAAAAATAGCAGATTGACTGAATTGCATAAGCTTGTTTTGCCTGGCAGACTTCCTTAGACATATGACATATGTTGATGTTTACACGTTTAGGCTTAAATTCCAAGTGAGAGAACATTAAGTGTATAAATTACTTTGTTAGACAAACCTAACCTAAATAATGTGCCTTTGTGTGCGTTGGTCTGTGTTGTGCTTGTGCATGTCAAATAAAATTGAGAAATGTCATATTATTCCAATAACTTGCGAATGGCTGGTGTAACACTACCCAGTAGTTTTAGAACAAACCTAAAGATGAACCCTACAAATATTTGAGTTTTGAATATGCAGTTGTAGCACATGTATTCATTTCTCTATCATTTCTTGAAGACTCACTGGCAGGCACCTTTAAGGCAGCAGGAATTGAAGATGTGCAATATTACCGGTACTGGGATGCAGAATCCAATGGAGTGTGTGTGGAAAACATGCTGTATGACTTGGAGAACGCTCCGGAACAATGTGTGGTGGTCCTGTTTGCTTCAGGCCACCGTCCCACCGGTGCTGAACTTTCTCAGGAGGACTGGAAACGTGTGGCTGAGGTCATGGTGGTACGGTTTCACAATAAAACACGAAATCAAGATTAGAAACTCTTTCCCGATTGGGTAGAGTGAGAGAGTTCAATAATTTATAGCATTCATTATCAGGTGTGTAAGGCTAGTTAGACCTTTCAGGGTAAGATCAAATTTACTTCAGCTTCACTAAACACCTCACCATGAGGATGAGAGACTTTCTGAAGTTTTTAAACACTTTCTTTCACATTTTCCTATCCATAATTCATCGTCTCTATGCACTCTTGATAAAACAAGTAAACAAATAGTTATGGTTAATAAACGCTATCAGATGTATAGGGTACAACAGCACTAAAGGCACACCTTAAGGAAGATGTGCTTTTCACTGCTTGCATAGTGCATGACTGCAGAAAAACAACAAATATTTTATTATATGATATGATGAATGTATCATTTTTAAATATAATGGCTCCATTATAAATATTGTGATTACCTTTAAGGTGGACACCAAACTTAATAAATTGTATTAACCATCTTAATTTAACCATTTCATGTTGACAAATGGAAAAAATCGTCCATCTATTTATTATCATGTTCATTATTGTACCTTTAAGGATGCTTATATATATATATATTCAAAATAAAAAAATATTAGATAATTTGATTCTCATTAGCTACATAAATCTATAACATTAAAAAATTAAATATTAGATCTAATTAGTGCAGAATCAACTTTGCATTGCTGCCCACAATCCCATCAAAGATCAGCCAAATTTACAGATGCAATATGAAACGTGGATGTTTAGGAAAGTGTTGCAAGTTTTTGTGCCACCTAATGGTTTAAAGGAGAATAAAATCAAATTTGCCTATTACCCTGGTGCGCTTTTAGTCCTGTTGAAACCCTAATACTAGACTGACCATTAATGGTTTTGATCTCATCGTGATTAGTTTATATATAGCATAGTTCAAGCTTTTATCACTAATATCCACAGAGTGGGTGAGTAGTGTTTGATATATAATGGTTCCTTGAATGAAGCACCTGTTAAGCAAAAGTCAGTCTCTCAATCCCATTCTGTCTCTTTCTCTTGATTAGAAGCGCCAGTTATTTGCATTCTTCTTGATGTCTGCCCAAGGCTTGTGCAGTGGTTCTCTTGAACAAGATGCCTGGCCTGTTCGTCACTGCGTGTCTTTGGGGCTTGAACTTCTCTGTGCTCAATCTTTTTCTCACAACTTTGGCCTTTATGGTGCGTTTTGTAACCATTTGTAACTGAACTATAGTTTAGATATTACTCCAAAAACATGTCTAAATGTGATTTACTCATGAGTAAATAATCTTGGGCTACTAGAATTATATTGGATATTCACGTTGACAGGCGAGAGAGTGGGGCATCTTCTCTGCGTTTTAAAGCAGAACCTGCTGGCTGTACAATCTCAAGCTGAGAAACTTGTTCAGACGCTTTGGTCCTGCCCACCGATGGAAGGGGCCAGGGTGGTTGCCACCGTATTAAGTAATCCTGCCCATCTAGCTGACTGGTAAGACTTAATCCCTTCATTCACCTCTGCTCTAGTTTGTTGCTAGTCCAGCATTCTAATAAGCCTGGCATTGTACACTACAGTGGGTAAAGAATCGCCACTCTTTAAAATAATCACATTTTGTTGCTTTGCAGCCTGAAATGAAGATGGGCACACTTTTTGTTTTATCCAGCTGCATTTACTCAATGCAACTTATAACATCCAAGTGAAAGATATAACACCAATATTTCAGAAAAAAAATAAAATAATAACAAAATCACTGAGTTGGAAAAAGGATCACCCCCTTGTGTCGGTATTTTGTTGAACCACCTTTTGATTTAATTACAGCCTTTAGTCTGTTGGGATATGTTGTCTCTCTTCTTCCCATTGACAACTTTCTGGCAGAGGGCAGCAGATTTTCTTCAAGAATTTGAAGGTATTTTGCCCCATGAATTTTTCCTTCAATCCTGAGAAGTGCTCCAGTCCCTGCTGCAGAGAAACACCCCCAGAACAGGATATTACCACCTCCATGCTTTACTATAGGAATGGGGTTATTTGGATGGTGAGCTTTATTTGATTTCCGCCCGATATATTGTTTGGTGTTGAGGACAAATAATTAAATTTTAGTCTCATCTGCCTCAGGATCTTCAAGGTGTGTTTTGGCAAAGCTCAGTCTGACTGCATGTGGCCTTTCTTGAGGAGTGGATTTTTTTCTTGCAATCCTCCCATACAAGCCACATGTGTGGAGAATTAGTGATATTATTGTCACATGCACATAATGACCACTCTTTGTCATAAATTTCTGCAGCTGCTTCAGAGTTGCTGTAGGTCTCTTGGTCGCCTCTCTGACCAGTTTCCTCCGGACTCTTTCATCTAATTTGGAGCGACGTCCTGATCCAGGGAGGATCTGTGTTGTACCAAATACCTTCCACTTCTTATTAGCACTGTGCTTCTAGGCATTGTTAAAGCCTTTGTCATTTTTTTTGTATCCATCTCCTGACTTGTGCCTGTCCACAACTTTATCCTGGAGATCTTTTGACAGTGCCTTGCCACCCACAGTTGATTGTTTGCTTCAGTTGCACTACCAAGGACTGAAATGCTCCAGGAAAGTTATTTTCATGCTGAGCTGATCAAAATGAGCACAGTTGAAAGTCAAATGGCTTTGTGTGCTATTGAGAATGGGATTAGCTACACCTCATTAGTGATGGGAAGTTCGGATCATTTTACCGACTCGGACCTTTGAGTCTCGTTCAGCAAAATGAACAAATCTTTTTTTCGAGTCATTTCATTCATTTCGTTCATTTTAGCAAAATATAATTAAAATGTTACGTGTTACTTCCCTATGGGGAACCCTAATATGTCTAGTACTTACGCAAACGTTGATCACACTACAAACAATACAAAACTGCTATAAGAAACAGAAAAGATTAATTCATTGTTTACCTGGGTCTTCAGTCTATGATTAGCTCACCTCACCTCTTACCTGACAAGTCTTCGGGTTTGGGCTTATGGGTCTGTCACGTGATGAATGAACGACTCAAACCCGAAGACTGGAGAGATGAACTAATCAATTCTCTTTCCGGCTCAGACTGCATAGGGTACACTTATGGGGCTGTCACATGATGAACGAACGACTCGGAAAAACCTGAAGACTCGAACCAGGTGAACTACTTGACTAATTCCAGTACAGAACCTATAGGATGTTGCGCATGCGCGACTGAACGAATCACTCCCCGAGACGACTCGTTCTTCCCAAGTCACATTAAAGATTCGTTCAAAATGAACAAATCGTTCAAGAACGACCCAACACTACACCTCATTGAGTTTACAAGTCATTTTTAGGAGGGGGTGATCCTTTTTCACACTCGGTGAGTCTGTTTTTTTTATTATTATTATTATTATAATATGTTGGTGTTATCTTTCACTTGGCTGTTAAAATTTGTTTGGCTGTAACAAAATGTGATTATTTTAAAGGGGGGTGATTCTTTTCTATAGCCACTGTATGCATACAGGTGCATCTCAATAAATTAGAATGTCGTGGAAAAGTTCATTTATTTCAGTAATTCAACTCAAATTGTGAAACTCGTGTATTAAATAAATTCAATGCACACAGACTGAAGTAGTTTAAGTCTTTGGTTCTTTTAATTGTGATGATTTTGGCTCACATTTAACAAAAACCCACCAATTCACTATCTCAACAAATTAGAATACTTCATAAGACCAATAAAAAAAACATTTTTAGTGAATTGTTGGCCTTCTGGAAAGTATGTTAATTTACTGTACATGTACTCAATACTTGGTAGGGGCTCATTTTGCTTTAATTACTGCCTCAATTCAGCGTGGCATGGAGGTGATCAGTTTGTGGCACTGCTGAGGTGGTATGGAAGCCCAGGTTGCTTTGATAGCGGCCTTCAGGTCATCTGCATTGTTGGTCTGGTGTCTCTCATCTTCCTCTTGACAATACCCCATAGATTCTCTATGGAGTTCAGGTCTGGTGAGTTTGCTGGCCAATCAAGCACACCAACACCATGGTCATTTAACCAACTTTTGGTGCTTTTGGCAGTGTGGGCAGGTGCCAAATCCTGCTGGAAAATGAAATCAGCATCTTCAAAAAGCTGGTCAGCAGAAGGAAGCATGAAGTGCTCCAAAATGTCTTGGTAAACGGGTGCAGTGACGTATTAAAGATTCGTTCAAAATGAACAAATCGTTCAAGAACGACCCAACACTACACCTCATTGAGTTTACAAGTCATTTTTAGGAGGGGGTGATCCTTTTTCACACTCGGTGAGTCTGTTTTTTTTATTATTATTATTATTATAATATGTTGGTGTTATCTTTCACTTGGCTGTTAAAATTTGTTTGGCTGTAACAAAATGTGATTATTTTAAAGGGGGGTGATTCTTTTCTATAGCCACTGTATGCATACAGGTGCATCTCAATAAATTAGAATGTCGTGGAAAGTTTTTGTGAAATTAAAATAACCAAAGACTTAAACTACTTCAGTCTGTGTGCATTGAATTTATTTAATACACGATTTTCACAATTTGAGTTGTATTACTGAAATAAATGAACTTTTCCACGACATTCTAATTTATTGAGATGCACCTGTATTGTTGGCTTTGAAATTGCTTATGTTCCTCTATTTATTTACAGCATTGTGTATTGTCATAAAGCTTTTAATTGAGATTTTTATTTATTCATTTAAACTAATTACCTAATATATACAGTAGTGACCTCACAAAGTATTTGGATGCTTAAGTCACACTTGGTGTGCATGAATAACAGTACATAAAAGTATCAAACCCAGTGGCATGTGAAAACAAATGAGGTTCCCTATCGATACTTCACTCGTACTGCATCTGCTAAGACGCTATGGGAAAACTCTTTTTTCTCCGATGACTGGAGCTTTTTCAATAACGCATTGTAACTGCACAGCCATTGGTTCGTGCAGTAAATTAAAAAACAAACCAATGGCTCGGCAGCAGTGATGAATTTACTGGTGAAAGGAGCCATAGAAATGGTTCCCCCAGGTCAGAGCGAGTCAGGCTTTACTTCCTCGTCCCCAAAAACGGTGGCAGTCTTCGACCCATCCTCAATCTCAGATGCCTGAACCGTGCCCTTATGAAATGGCCATTCAGGATGATTACTTTGAAACAGATCCTCTCGCAAGTGTGCCCAGGGGACTGGTTCTTTTCTCTGGATCTGAAAGACGCATACTTTCACATCCAGATAGCCCCCCATCACAGACGATTCTTGAGATTCGCCTTCGAGGGAGTGGCATATCAATACATGGTCCTTCTATTCGGACTGTCCCTAGCTCCTCGCACTTTTACGAAGTGCTCCACTCTGAGACAGATGGGAATCCGCATTCTGCACTAGCTTACTCCTCTTTGGGCCTACACTGCCCCATGGGAGTAAGAGCCCATTCGACTAGAGGCATTGCCTCATCTTGGGCTTGGTCTAGCGGTGTGTCCATTGTAGAAATCTGTGCGGCGGTCGGCTAGGCCTCACCTTCCACATTTGCCAGGTTCTATAATCTGGACATCCCGACCTTACAGGCCCGGGTCCTTTCTGCTTAATGGGCTCAGTCTTGCCTCAGGGCAAAAACCAGTCTTAGGCTTGCCTACCTGCGCTCTTGGCCCTCACAGAGTGCCGAGGCTGTAGGTTTTTCTTCCTAGAACGCTTACTTATGGCTGGGCTGACCTCTACTAGTTGAACCCTATTGCCTCCTGCAGGGCTTCCCTGCACAATTACTTGTCCCTCTGGGGCCTTTGTGGTGCTTAAGGCAAGTATGAGTCTTTCCTCTAAGCATAGAACGGCAGGATTGTACTGGTTCCCCATAGCGTCTTAGCAGATGCAGTACGAGTGAAGTATCGATAGGGAACGTACTTGGTTACAAACGTTACCTTGGTTCCCTGAGAAACGGGAACGAGTACTGCGTACTTAGCCATGCTATGCAGCTGCATGACTCAGTCGTTGCTTCAGTCGAAGTAACCTGAGAATCCTATGGCGACATGCCCGCTTATAAAGCCAGATGGCCCCGCGCAGATTGGCAGGCTCTGGCGGGCTTCATCGACATGCAGCTCCACTGCCGAGTCATTGGTTCGTTTTTTTAATTTACTGTATGAACCAATGGCCATGCAGTTACACTGCGTTATTGAAAAAGCTTCAGTCATCAGAGAACAAGGAGTTTTCCCATAGCATCTTAGCAGACGCAGTACTCGTTCCCGTATCTCAGGGAACCGGGGTTACATTTGTAACCGAGTACGTTTTCTCAGAAGTAACTTGAGATTGCTAGCTTTTTTTATCATTTTATACTATGATTTTGGTTTCCTAGTCTAGTTGTTTAACTCTGTGACAAAATGTCAAGTCACCTTTATTTATATAGCGCTTTTAACAATACAGATTGTGTCAAAGCAACTGAACAGCATTAATTAGGAAAATAGTGTGTCAATAATGCAAAATGACAATAGTAAACACAAATTTTTCAGTTAAAGACAGTTCATCAGTGATTCAGTGAAATTGTTTGTTTCTGTATATAAGTTTTGGATGAAATGGTCTACTAAATGCATAAATTCAAATGTAATTTTCCAAAGCATTTTGTATTGTCATAAACCTTTTAATAGTGATTGATTGATTGATTCCTAATTTATTGTGACCTCACAAAGTATTTGGATGCTTAATATGCATGAATGTAATGAAAACTTGTTTCCACCATGGGATTAAAAAAAAATAAAAAGGTGAATGCAAACATTATCTCTCAATTCAGACTTTTTTCTCACAGTTTCAAGGGGGAAAAACACAGAAATGTGATATATATATATATATATATAACACAGAAAAAAAAATTCATTGGGATATATAAACTCTCTCAAAAATTGTCAGAAAAAGTACAAATTATGAGACACAAAGTTGCAATTACCTTTATTTTTTATTATTGTGTTTAGTTTAGTTTTTTAATTCCTTGATGGAAACAAACTTCCATATGAATGCCATTAAATTATAGTACATGCAAAATATGCAAACAAATTATGCTATGATGAGTTTTTCTCAGATTGTATAACTATTTTGCAATCGTTTTTATCAAGCTGCTATGAAGGTGATTTTTAGTAGACGCATGCAGTTAGGCTTCTTTTATTTTCTCTTCCATTTAGTTTGACATTTTGTCACATAATGCAAAGACATTCATACATTGTAAGTGTGGCTTAAGTATACAAACACGTTTTACACGCATGTGGCCATGAATAAACAAAGCCCTTAAAAAAACTCCACTTTAGTATTAGAACATCTGATTGTCACAGTCTCTTTACATCAAAGCTGCCAGAACAGATTAGTTTGTTCTTGACCATGAGAATTTCAGTCAAGCTTAGTGTTCAAATGCAATGGGAAATCAATTACCTCTTAAATAACTATTGCAAATCAAGAAAATCTCGATCTGAACATCACCACTTGTGATTACGATTGAGATGAAAACATGCCCAAGGTTTCTATTCTTTATGCATGAACTGTCCTGAAATTAAAAACTTGTTTTATTATTCAGCAAATGAGTCTGCTGTTTTTCTCAGGCAGGAGAGTGTGAAGGCCATTGCTGAACGCTGCATGCTAATCCGAGAGCGTTTGCGTGAGAGACTGAGGCTTCTGGGTGGTCCGTGGCAGTGGGATCACATAATAAAACCTGGAGGGCTTTATTGCTGTTTTGGACTCAACAGTGAGTGATACATATTACATAATACATGCATATGGTTATTATAGCCTAATGCAACTTTCTTCAATATTTTTGAACTAGCAGTTCAGCATAACAGTGCTAACATTTATAAAGGGGAGCTCAATACATCAGTATACATTTAAATGCGCAATAATCAGTTTCATGTTCTCTATCAGCTCAACAGGTTGACTTCCTGGTTCAGAAGAAACACATCTACTTGTTACCCAATGGGTGTCTGAATGTTAGTGCCATCAACAGCCGTAACCTGGACTATGTTGCTGAATCCATACATCAAGCCTTAAGCTCGAAACGCTGATCTCACTTCACACTAGAACTTCAACTTCATCTGTAGTATGCCTTCAGCTATGTATTGGGAATTTCTGTCTTTGTATATTTCAAATATATTCAAGCGAACTATTAATTTTCTTTGGCTTAACTTTTACCGAAGGCTGTAATGCAGACAGATCTGCAATCAGCATTGCTGGTTTCCTATTTTATAATTATTAGTTATTTGTGATATATTTATAGGTCAGACTGTTTTTGATGGTGCCGAAAGTAACTCATAAGAAATAAAAGAACATCTGTATATCAGTCGCAGTGTGATGCCACTTATCAAGCAACATTCTCACATTTCTCTCCCATACAACAATCAGAAGAATATTCATTACAATATTCACACATCAGTATCCAAAACATGTAATGGCATGGTCTGAAATGAAAGATACCATTTTTTAATCAGCTGTTATTTATTTTCCCCCAGTTTTTGATGGAGATAAAAGCATATATTTTTATGATTTCAATTATTAGCTTTAATAAAAACGAAGATAATATATTTTCTTTCTCTTTATATTTTTATATCAATACGGTACAAGATTATCCTATTTAAATCAATGTGATAAATGAGCAGAGGCGGACAAAGTACTCAATTCCATTACTTGAGTGAAAGTACAGATTCTGCTGGTCAAATATTACTCCATTACAAGTAAAAGTTGTATAGACCGATTTTTACTTAAGTAAAAGTACAGAAGTACTTGCTTTTAAAAGTACTTAAGTACCAAAAGTAAATTTCCTTTTTTTATGTCAATGCACTGTTTTATTGTTGTACGTAATACTTGCAATACTTCTGAAGCAACTTACAATACATTAAACCTACTGAATATACATATATATTTGTAGCTTGTAGTATCTTTGAAATAAAGAGCTTTTAGAATGTTAAAAACCTATGGGGAAAAAAAATTAACAACTACCCTCCCCCACAAAAGCAGTATGGTAGTAATCTCACAGTTCTGCTTCTGACAGTGTGCGCACACATCTATGTGTAGCCATTCATTCACATTTGAATACAGAGTGATAAGAAAGAAAAAAAAATCAAACCTGCTTTAAAACCCAGTAGCTGTACAACTTTACAACAGCAACACTGCCTTAACAAAAAATCAAAACAGCAAGACTTATTTGACATCAAAACAAACATTTTAAATGCTGTCTAATCGCTCTCGCTGTACTTTGATGTCACACACAGAATGGT